GATTTCGCCCCCGCTGGCCCAGTGGGGGGTGGGGGGAGCCTCGCAAGGGTCCTGGAAGGCTCACTCGGACCCTTGCGAGGCTCTCCCCACAGGGCCAGTGGGGGCAAAATCGCCAGCTTCGCTCCATAAGATGCACAGACCTTTCCCCCACTTTTTTGGGGGAAAGTGCTTCTTATAGAGTGAAAAATACGGTAACCAGAATTCACTTCAATGCAACAGTTTCTCGAGCTGTGAATTCAAATTTCATTTCATGCATCACTTTCCCAACTTGCAGGCCAGCTGGGGACCGCTGTGTGCCATTCCTCTCTAAAGCGGTAACAACTAAGTTTGAAATGGAAGCAGGTGAAGAAACCAGAGATTCTTTTTTCATTTCAGGAAAGCAACATTTACAGGATCAGAAAGAAATCTAGGAAACCAAGAACTGACAAGAAATTTCCAAACGACTGAATTTTTGCTTCTATGCAAGTTAGTGTTTCCCTTCCAAACAGCTAGCTTCTACACTCTCTGCCAGCAGTGTTTCTGGTGAATATCTACTGACTCAGTCAGAGAAAGAGAGAAAGAGAAATTACAGCTTCCTAAAGGTTAATTTTGTCTTTTAAAGAGTCCAGTTCATTCCAAAGCTGTGATTGCATGAAATGGCAGCTTCCAGCTCCCACCCCTTCTATTATCCCTCTGGCAGCCAATTTATTCTTTTCTTATTGTTGCTGGGCCATTTTGCTGAAACAAGCTTTACGAACCGAATGAAGAAGCTGAGCCTGTCATCTGATATTTTCTTTTCCCTCCCTTGCTTGTACATACATTACTGGGCAGGGTTGGGGGTGGGGGATAAACTGGGAATAGGGGAAGGGAGGGGGAAAACCCCACACCATTCCTAGATCAAAACAATAATCAGCTAAATGAATTCCGCAGCATTTTCCCGCATGACTAGGAGTGATAATTTAGTACAGCAGCCAGCTGGAAGGAAGGGGATTAATTCTGCACTTACCGACACCCCTGTGAATAATTCATCACACGCAGAACCTTCTCAGATGGCCCCCCGGGGCCATTACTCCAAAGTACTTTTCTAGACACTGCCCTGCCCCAGCCGTGGGGACACCCCAGGGGAGAGAGGAATGGAATTAACCTGCTAGCTTTAAGTTTGGTCCTAAATTAACTTTGCAGTGGGGGAAAAGCAGAAGAGCTTTTGTGCTTTTCACGTCACCTGCATGCCTTCATCCTGCAGTATCTTTTTACTTGGCAGAGAGACTGCTAGGGAGCGATCAGTCCTGGGTATTAAGAGGTATAGTTTGCTGGCATAGGTTTTCTTACTGCTGAGGTTAGAGCCATATTTGACCAACCAAATAGAAACTCTGGGCTTCCTTGGATTCCACCTCCCATCAGCCCCAACCACCATGGAAAGGGATTATGGGAACTGTAGTACAGCAACTTTTGTGTTGGAGGAGCACACAGTTCTCCATCTCTAAAAGTATGTTCTTAGGAGGGCTAAAGAAAAATATTTCAAACAGACCAACAAAAACACCCCTGATCCATTAGAATAAGCAGACACCGGCAAATTTCTAGAAGCAGCACTAATAAGCAACAAAAGCAAATTATATTAGATGTTTGTCCAGTATGGGGTGCTATGAAGCCTGGCATGGGAGTGTGTGGGAATACACCAAGGCAGACACAAGAAAAAGCATGCCTGAAGTCAGTGCTCCAATGAAGGTCACTGACATGTTGACAAAAGAGAAGAAAAATACAAGGGAGGGATGGAGGGTGGTGGAACAAAAAGAAGAAACATATTTTGTGAAATTTATATATGCTGATGTAGAAGGAAATTCAGATCTAATGTCTGTAATAAAAATTGGAACATAAGACATCTCAACACAGTGGGGAATCCTGTGCCCAAAGCGGTCTGCGTTCCAGGTGCTCAGTTGGCTGTCCAGCTGCCAAGCTGAGCAAGTCAGGATCTTGGCCCCTGCTCATCCTTCTTAGGGTCCTTTATCTTTTAGCTGGCCTTTGGATTGGAGCTGCATTCAAGTAAAGAGGGCCTCCATACGGAGAACACAATTATAAAAATGAGCGGAAATACTCCGATAGGAAGATCAGAAATGCCCCATCAGAGAAGGCATGGCAGTGGGTGGAAGTGGCTCTTTATTCCTTTTTAAAGCCCACAGAAAGAGGGCGATGGCAGAGGGATCAAGGCCTAGGGTGCCAGCCGGCAGCCCAGCTGCGGGAGAAGCACGTGAACTTTGCAAAGGTGACCTGATCTCATGGTAACTCTTGTTATTTCTGGGTCACTGGTTCCTAGAGAAATTCTCTTGGTGTTTTAATATACCCCCCCGCCCCGCGCCTGATATCATCCAACCATCTCCCTCCACCCCAAAGCAGAAGAGCAAAATCCTCTCACCATCTTTGACAACATAATTTGGTCTGACAGGCTGAAGCCAGTTTTGAGCAAGGCTGAGCAATCTGGCTGTGTTGTTTTAACACAACCTCTTTTACAGGAACTCAGGGAGGGGAGAGGGAGCATCGTAGCATGCTTTACGAGATGCTATGTAAACCATCATCTATATTCATGAAGCTGCTCTGGGAAAGGCCCGTCTCCAGCACTGCCAGCCACTCAGCTGCCTGCTGTTGATATTGCTTTTGCATCACTTGGGCAGAAACACAGCTGGGCAGGCAGAAGGAAGCTTTATTCTGTGTGGTACCACTTCCCAGAGTTTGGGGAAATTACTTTTTTAGACTGTAACTGAAAATTATAGTCCAAAAGGGTGATTTTTCTAATTTCTGCAGTGGATTATATCCACATGAATTCTGGGAGGGCTTTTCCAAAAGGTAGCATTTCTATGCTTTGCACTATAGCTCAGAAGACTAGTAAACCTACATTCAGGGTAACACTAGTAGGATTAGAAATCGGGGACATTTAGCCAGTATATAATGGATTTCACGAACCTTCTCCTCTACCCAATGAATCCATCTGATTGAAGTTCTTGCTCTTAAAAATGGCATGCAAGATTTTTAATTAAATAAAGTCATGTTGGTTTCAGAGTGCACTGTTTCAGTGAGATTAGGGTTTGTAAACTAGATGTGGATTTGATTTATCTGCTTTTTCAGAAAATTTGAAATCCAGGTACTTTATATTCCAAAGAATCTCTTGCTGGTCTTGAATTTGGGCAAGCACCAGATATGAAATCAGAAATGGAGCAAGGGAGTAACCAGAGGAAGCTTGGGCAAGGGCCCCTGAACAAGAGGATAAAAGTTAATTTTATTTTTTTGGTCTATATTATATTTCGATAAAAAAGTTTATAAAATAAAATGATTGTTATCCATTATCGTTTTTCTTAAGGATGAACCTCTACATTTTACTGGGGTGGGGAATGAAGGACGCCTATCATGTAGGAAAAGTCAGCCAGAGAGATTGTAGTGGATGGCAGGTGGAACACACAGGCAAAGTTTGCTGTTCTACAGAACTCTCTCTTTCTGCCTCTCTGTTCCCCTTCCCTGCACACCAGCATTTCCCAACCTGGTGCCTTCTAGATATTGCTGGACTGCAATGCCAATCACCATAAGTCAGCCTGGTCAGGGATGGGATTTATAATTCTTGGACTCAGACTGAGAAAAGTGGCTCTTCTGCACCCATCTTCAATCTTTCCATTTCTGCCTCTCTATCCCTCTTCCCCACCCCACCCCGTGCCTTGTGTGCCACCCAGTCTAGACAACCTGTCTGAAGTTGGGCCACAAAGAATCCCAGTTCCATAAGAATCATCTAAGAATCATCTAAGTACAACTTTACAACAATCCAGCTCTGATTCTGCTGGGGAGGGGGAGGCAGGGAATCCATCCTACCTCTGAATTGATCAACTGGAGGCCAAGCTGGACGGTTGGGATGCCCCCAGATGTGGTTCGCAGAAGGGTATCCTGTAGAAATGATAGATTAAGGAACACAGTCAATTTAAAGGATTGATGTGCAGAACTCATCCCAGTCTAAAAAGTTTGCCTGATCTAATATTTAGGAATCACTTTTGATGGCTCACATTAAAGGATCACTTAGCCGAGGAATTGTTCTCCAAGAGTGGGCAGACAGCTACTTTTAGAAAGTTCATAAGCAAGCAGAAAGTTGATGGATTGCACCATGTTTATCCCCACATTCTAATAATCAAATAATTCATCCTCTGGTGCTTCCAGATTAAGAATTGTGACCAACAGGGCCTGGAAGGGCTGATCAATAGAAGGCAATTTGGTATACATTTTCCTTCACTTCATTTATTAAACTTATGAATTTAGGTTCAACTAACAGGTGTGCTTGAATAGACTTTTGAAATCCTTCACTCTGTCTACATGTGGCGTTGTTGAGAAGGATCAATGGGAAAAGATAAATTATCTCCACTAACAATGATTGTAACATATTCCAAGAGGATCTCTGTTCTTGTGTTGTTGTTGTTGTTGTTGCTTTGTTGAGGTTTTTTTGGGGGACGTGGTGGTTCTTTTTGTTTTGTTTTTTGTTTTTTGCATTGTTACTGAAAATGGTAGCCATTACAACTGTGTTGACAACTTGGTAGCCATTTTGATTCTTCCACCAGGCCTTCTAGCTGGTGTCATTTCAGGATACCGCAAGAGCAGCAACAGAGAAGCAGCCACAAAATCAATCAATCAATAATCAATCAATCAATCAATCAATCAATCAATCAATCAATCAATCAATCAATCAATCAATCAATGATGGTGAAAGTTTGGAAGAAATTATGCACCCTGGCTTTCCTTTTTCAGGAGGTTAAGAAAAGCAACAAGTGGGTACTCAGTCAAATCAAGCCTGATTTCTTTCTTTCTTTGCCATTTCTTTGGTTAAAAAAAAGACAAAACTGAAGCTGTTGTACTTTGTACTCATCACAAGAAGACACGACTTGCTAGAAAAGACAGTAATGCTACGAGAAGTTGAAGGCAGTAGGAAAAGAGGACCAAATACTGTATGAGATGGATTGGCTCCATAAAGGAAGCCACGAATTTGAGTTTACAAGAACCAGGGAGGACTATTGAGGACAGGACACTTTGGAGGTCACACACGACTTGATGGCATGTAACAGCAGCAGCAGCAACAACAACAATGGGGGGAGGCGTTCATATCAGAATGTTTCTCAAAAACTGTCTGCTGAAAAATATTTGCACAACACTTGTTAACCTTCAGACTTCAACACCATCCCAAGGCTTTTCACATGCAAAGCATTTAAGGTGGTCACTGCATGACTCGTTTTCCGTATGCAGAAATGACAGAGGGCAGTATTGTGTCAGCAGCAGAAAAAAGGTGAAGCTAGTGCTGTGCTATAATTTGTCCTCCAAATTCGCAAAAGTTCTATTTCTGCACAAAAGAGGCTTCCATTTTTCTTTCTTCTTGCCTTTTGAATTTCTTTGCAAGACAGTTCTATGCTTTAAAAAAAAAGTCTCAGAGTATATACAATATTCATATGTTTTTGAGTAAAATCTTCTAGGAATTTGGGAGGAAATAATACTTACAAATGTGCCTCTCTTTTTTGGAATAAATACGCTTTTAAAGATTATCTTTGCACTTTTAAGTTTAAAAAGCCCTGAAAATTTAATGCAGTAAATGAGATGGAAGAGCTCCCATATGAAACTAATAAGGACCAGAAAGGAGATGCAGGAATTCAGCTACAAGACATCCATCCCTACCTGGATGGGAAGATTTTCTATTCGAAGACCACTCCTGCTGCTGTCTGCTACCAGCTTCCGGTACACCCGATTCGTTAGCGGTAGCACCGAGAAACCCAAGGGCTTCGTCACACTTTCTAGATCTCCTCCTGATCCTGGTGATTGGGAGAGTGGGATAAAAATTTACCAGTTAGTCTCTCATTACAATGCAACTGGAGATCAAAGAAAATTTACAATTGCTTTTCCCGACTGTTTCAGGATGCTTCTAACGCCTCCCTCATCCAAATTTCATCCTTTTTTTTAATGTTACAAATTGACTAAACTTCTTTCCATCTAAACCGATGAGTTATGATGTTGGACTAGGAAGAAGCCTTTGTCAGATTTTGAAGACTTTGTCATACACTCAGATGATACTGAGATTCTGTGCATCAGAGACATTTTCTTCTTAAACCAGTCATTGGACGGGGCACCATGTGATCAAGATCATAATTCTGATGTTATAGGTGTTGGCCAACCCAATTTCTTAGAAATTACCAGAATTCTGAAAATAGTTTTTGAAAAGTGATGAATTACTGTTATACCTCCGAGGCTTCTAAAGTAGTTAGTTAGTGTTATAGTTACAAATTTTAAACTGACTCAGTTTTTCAGTTTACTTTTCAGTTTCTCAAAAATTACTAAATACAAGTGGTGCCTTGCTTAACGGGCGCCCCGTTTAACGACGAATCCCCATAGCGATGAAGATTTTGCGATCGCAAAAGTGATCGCATTGTGATGTTCCCTATGGGAAAAAATCGCTTTGCGATGATGGCGTCCCCCCAATCATTGCAAACAGCCCATTGCCCGCCGATCAGCTGTGCGAAAACGGGTCGTTTGCGATGAAGGGGGGAGAAGCGATCATCACAAACGCCCTGTTTCTTGCGAGGAATCCATCCCAGAAAAGAGCCTGGAGCCATCTTCTCCACTCCAGCCCCTCCCCCTCCCCACCTCACAGCTGATCGGCGCTGGGTCTTAGAAGCTTCCCCAGGCTTGCCCAGCAGGTAAACAGGCAGTGGAAATGCACTGGGGAAGCC